GTGTAGAACAGGTCACACATTTCTTGATTTTGTTTTAGCAAACAAACCTCTGTGTGTGTGTCTGTGTGTGTGTCTGTGTGTGTGCATGTGTGTGAAATACTATTCAACTGTATTCCTATCAATACTCAGAGTATTTAATTTTCTGAAATTTCAGGTATCAATAAGTGAAATTATATGACAAGGTATGTACTTCATTAATATTAGTGATATTTCCATAACTATACTCATTGTATGAACCTTTAATACATGCTATTCTATGAAAATTATTTTGTACTTTTTACTGTATAGCCCACCTTTTATTGTTATTTTAGGCAACCACTTCAAGTTCCTCAAATCATAAATGTATTTTTTAAATAGGAGGCTGTGTATTAACTTAGATTATTTATTATTTTGTAATTATAAATTTATATGTTTTACATATTCTGTATATATTTTGCACATTATATATTTATATATTTTTAATTTTATAGATCCCTGCTACCAAATTACATTGTTTTTATTTTGTAGCATTCATGATACTTTTATCAGTAAGTAAATGACAGCAGAAAATTTTAAAAAATCATTTCATAAATATCTCATCAATTTTGTAATTTGATTATTCTCAATTAAATGTGTTTACTTCAATTATATGATTAGAAATTTAGTGAAGTGTAAATTTTGTAAAATATAGTTGATTGCACATATTTATTTATCTCCACTCCCTCAGCACACTTCACCAAAATGAGTAAGAGAATATAGAAGGTTTACACTAACAAGGGCAAAGCAAGTGAGGAGAAAATACATCACATGAGAATGATCAGCATGTCACCAAAATTGCAGAAAATGAAAATCAAATGGAGAAGTGATAGCTCACTTAGCTCACTTAGCGATGGAACTTGTATGGCTGCCTGTGGGGAGAGAAGCCACTTTCAATTTGTGCTGTTCTGTTGGGTGTATACCAGTGAGAGGCATTGCCAGAATAAATGTGCATGTTCCTCTGTCGTAGATACTACCAAATAATCCCCCCAAATGGTAGTGTCACTATAAACTAAAATGTAGAATTACTGTCTATCTTCTTTATTCATTCATCCTTTGACGGAGACTGATTTTTTTCCATATCTTGGCTATTGCGAATAACGCTGTAATAATGCTATAGTGCAGGTAACTTTTTCATATCCTCTTTTCATTTCCTTTGAATATGTACCCAGAAATAGGATTGCTGGGTCACTTGGTAGGTCTATTTTTAATTTTCTGAGAAACAGCCATACTGTTTTCCATATTGGCTACACTAAGTTGCATTCCCACCAACTCTACTTCCTTGCCATCATGTATCTCTTTTCTTCTTGATAACTGCCATTCTAACAGTTGTAAGACTACATGTCATTTTGGTTTCATTTGCATTTCCCTGATGATTAGTTATATTGAGCATCTTTTCCTGTATTTGTTGGCCATTTGTATGTCTTCTTTAAAGAGATGTCTATTCAGTTCCTCTGCCTATTTTTTAACTGTATATTTTTGTTTTTGTTATTATTATGTGAGCTCTTTATGTACTTTAGGTATTATCAGTTTATCAGATATATTATTTTCAAATCTTTTGGCCCATTCTATCAGTTGCCTGTTCATTATTTTTACTTGTTTCTTTTGCTGTGCTGAAGCTTTTTACTTTGATGTAGTGCTGCTTGCTTTTGTTGCTGGTGCTTTTGCTGTAGTTTTTTTTTTTTTTTAAATCATTGCCAAGACAAATATCTAGATCTTTCCCTATGTTTTCTTCTAAAAGTTTTATGGTTTCAGGTCTTATTTTTTAGTCTCTAATCCATTTTGAGTTAATTTTTGTGAGTAGTGTCTAGTCAGGTCCAATTTCACTTTTCTGTCTGTGGTTAACCAGTTTTACTTACAGCATTTATTGAAGAGACTATTCTTTCCCTATTGAGAATTCCTAGCTTCTTTGTCAAATATTAGTGATTTATTTGGGAGTTTATTTCTGGGCTCTCTATTCTGTTCCAGTGGTCTATGTATATATTTTTTACACTGACACCTTACTCTTTCAGTTTGTATAACTCTATAGTATAGTCAACTTGCCTGGTGGCTCAGATGGTAAAGAGTCTGCCTACCATGTGGGAGACCTGGGTTCAATCACTGGGTCGGGAAGATCCTCTGGAGAAGGAAATGGCAACCCACTCCAGTACTCTTGCCTGAAAAATCCCATGGATGGAGGAGCCTGGTAGGCTACAGTCCATAGGGTCGCAAAGAGTCAGACACAACTGAGCGACTAAACTTTCTATGGTATAGTTTGACATCAGGAAACATTGTGCCTTTAGCATTGTTATTCTTAGAATTGCTTTGGCTATTTGGGCCTTTTGTGGCTCTATGAATTTTAGAATTGTTTTCAATATTTCTGTGAAGAATGCCATTGGAATTTTTTTTTCCATTTATTTTTATTAGTTGGAGGCTAATTACTTTACAACATTGCAGTGGTTTTTGTCATACATTGAAATGAATTAGCCATGGGTTTACATGTATTCCCCATCCCGGTCCCCCCTCCCACCTCCCTCTCCGCCCTATCCCTCTGGGTCTTCCCAGTGCACCAGGCCCGAGCACTTGTCTCATGCATCCAACCTGGGCTGGTGATCTGTTTCACCCTAGATATACATGTTTCAATGCTGTTCTCTTGAAACATCCCACCCTCGCCTTCTCCCACAGAGTCCACAAGTCTGTTCTATACATCTGAGTCTCTTTTTCTTTTTTTGCATATAGGGTTATTGTTACCATCTTTCTAAATTCCATATATATGTGTTAGTATACTGTAATGGTCTTTATCTTTCTGGCTTACTTCGCTCTGTATAATGGGCTCCAGTTTCATCCATCTCATTAGAACTGATTCAAATGAATTCTTTTTAATGGCTGAGTAATATTGAGACACGTGCAGCCCAATTTTCATCGCAGCACTGTTTATAATAGGCAGGACATGGAAGCAACCTAGATGCCCATCAGCAGACGAATGGATGAGGAAGCTGTGGTACATATACGCCATTGGAATTTTGATAGGGATCGCGTTGAATCTATAGTTGGTTTGGGTAGTATGGACATTTTAGCAAATTATTGCAGTACAGAAACATGGGCTGTCTTTCTATATGTTTGTGTTGTCTCCAGTTTCTTTATCAAAATATTGTAATTTTCATTGTAAGCTCTTTCACTTAATTGGTTAAATTCATGCCATTTTATAGTTTTTCAGCTATTGTGAACGAGATATTTATGTGCATGTCATTAGAAAATTGATTATACACACACACACACACACACACACACATATATATACATATATAACAAAAATGACAGGGACTTTCATGACAGTCCAGTGGTTAAGAATTTGTCTTCCAATGCAGAGGTTTTTGGTTTAGTCTTAGGTTAGGGAGCTCAGATCCCACATGCCTTGCAACCAAAAATGTAAAACAGAATCAATATTGTAAAAAATTTCAATAAAGATTTTAAGAATAGTCCACATCAAAAAATTTTTTTTAAAAATGACAAACGACATTGATATTGCTAATAAATACTGCTTATAATTTAATAAAATACAAGCAACTGGTAAAAAACAAAGGATATAAAAGACAATTCATAACCAAATGACCAATAAAAATATGAAAAAATGTGCATTATTAGTGGGATTTAGGAAGCTTCAATTGCAGTAGCAATATTTAATTCCATGTGTTGTCAGAAGGTAAAGGAGTAACTGATATTAATGATAGGATTAGTGGGGGGAAGATTAGGGTGCTCACTTACATTTTTTGAGCTTTCGAAATATGTTTAGAAATGTAACATAGAAATAAGTGTTAAATAATACACATACCCTGGCCCAGAACTCCTACTCTTAGGAACTGAAATGAAAGTATCAACATGGGCACATTTATTGCAGCATAGTTTATAAAGTATCTCTTTCAAGTAGGAGATTGTTGATACAAGTACTGCAGATATATTACAATGAATTACAACCACTGACATGGAGAAATTTTCATGCTATAGTTGATAATTGATAAGAATAAAGTTTATTGATATTATCTTAGTATTGAAAAATCAACAGTATGAAATCCTTCTGTTCATACATATGTAAACATACATCTACACAACAGTGTGTTGGCATTTTAGGGCAATAATACTTGAAGAAGAAAAAAGGAATAAAAGGTAGGAATAAACAAAATTTCTAAATGACATTTAAAGTAAATATCCATACAAAAAGCATATATGTTATGTTATAACATGTTAGATGCATGTTACATTTGAAAGCATGAATGTTTTGAATATAGAAATAGATACCACACTGAATGTTTAACCTGAACATCTATATCTGAATAACTTCTCCTAAAAGAAAACATTAGAAACCACTGAGTCAAATAATACTAAATTTTCCTTCCACAGTATTGACATAATGTTGGAAAACTTTCCTATTTTTGGTGGTTTGTTTTTCTTTGGAAATGAAATTTATATACTCTATAAAAGGAAAAAGGAAGTGATAGTGAAAGAAGGGATACATAAGAAAATAATTTAAAAGTTCTGAAGATTTAGGTACTGATACCCCATTTTTAACAGAAATACAAACAAAACCTAAAACTACTGACTAAAAGATAAATAGAATGCTCATTCCATTTACAAAGTAGCCTCATCGTAGATGTCAGGGAATTAATTATTATTCATTCACTCATTTAAGCTTTCAGGCATCTATAACAACTATACATTCAAAATATGCTAAGAATTGTGCATATAAGAAGACTAAAGCCCATGTCTAGCTTGTGGCAATTACAAAAAGCTGAGGTGATAATATGATCAGGTAGTTGTAATATAATATGATTCCCCATTGTATAACTTAATTTTGAATAACTATTTCATTCAGTAATATTATCATGTATTGACTTTTCTGTGTATGTGTAAACTGAATTCCAAAGTATATAATTTAAAATGTGTTGTACATGTGCAAATAAAGTAATTCTAACAATAATTTTAAAAAATTGCTTTTCCTGTGTTCACAGCTTGCAGACCAGGATTCTATAAAGCATTTGCTGGCAACACAAAATGTTCTAAATGTCCTCCACACAGTTTAACCTACGTGGAAGCGACTTCTGTCTGTCAGTGTGAAAAGGGCTACTTTCGAGCTGAAAAAGACCCACCTTCCATGGCATGTACCAGTAAGTCTGTCCATCTTGTGTTTGAAAATTTTATTTCCAATCCTTTTGGTCTCTTTATTCTAAATTTTTTATAAAAAGAAGTGGATATACAAAATTCTGTGTCATCAATGTTGCTTGTCTTTGATAACAGTCAAGGAAAAGTTTCTCTTTCTTAGAATTATTATTTTTCAGCTGCTTACAGAGAATGTATGTTTTCCTCAAAAATCACATTGATTCCTGGCATGCAACCACCAGCCCTGGTTTGGAGGCCTGGCAAGTTTTTCTTAGGCATAATTTGTCCTTAGGAAATCAAAGAAGCTAAAGGTCTTTTTGAGGATTTATAAGCAAAAGTTGTATTATTTGCTTTCACTCTTGAACATTTAAAGGCTCATCACTTTAGGGTCATCAAGTTTGCTGTGTCGGGGGAGCTTCAGCATGGAACTTTGAAAGTCATTGTGCTAATGTTATACAGGAAAATTCAAATTTTACTTGACATTTGTCTCTAAAGGAAGATATTTTTGAGTTTGTCCACATTTCACCTCTCACTTTTTCTCCCATTGTTGATTTGAAACCAATAGAATATTAAATCTAAATGTGAAGGTCATTTTAATGCATGCCCCAAGAATTTTAAATTAGTAATATTCTCCTGTTATTAAAGCATCATAAATTATCTGTACACTTTAAAAATAAAAGTGAATATATTGATATTAATGCATTGCTAAGCTATGCAAAAGTAAAATGTCACCTCTTAGTTATAAAAGTCTTGTTAAATACATAAATAAGATATAGTGAAATTTCACCCTTCTTGATGAGTTGGTGCCATGATGTTGCTTATCTTATGTAATTTCACAGGGGCTGAAATGGATTAAAAATATGTAATGCCACATATTCCTCAGAGACAATAGATATGCTACATTTCTTTTAAATGATGCACTTTGTAGATTTGTGTGCATTACTACAATCTTATAAAATAAATACAACACATTTATTAGTAGATGTAATTTTTGCTTTCTGACTATAAATGCTGAGTAACTACTTTCTGCAGAAAAAGACAGCATGAGAAATTGTTAACTAGATTTTTTTTTCTAGGAACATATTCTAAGCTTATAAGTAGGAAAAGGGAAATTCTCAATATCACTTCTTACCTAATTGTGGAAATAGTTTTGAACAGGAAAATATTTCTACTACTGGTCAATATTTGGATGTATGTATGTATGTATATATGTATGTATATGTAGGTGGTGGTGTTTCAGATGGTTACAGTTCTATCCCTAAAAACCTATATCAGAAACTAAGTCGATGCCTAGGTGAGTGATAGAAGGGAATCTGCTCTTTTTATATTTTCTTGTCAAAAGAGTGTTAGTTGCTCTGTTGTGTCCAACTCTGAGACCCTGTGGAGTGTAGTCTGCCAGGTTCCCCTGTCCATGAGACTTTTCAGGCAAGAATACATTGCCTTCTCCAGGGTATCTTCCAGACCCAGGGATAGAATCCATGTCTCCTGCATTGCAGGCAGATTCTTTACCATCTGAGCCATTATGGAAGCCCTTAGAAGGCCATAGATAGATGGATTGACAAGGTGAAGGAATACATTGTTTCCCATCAGTATAACCCTTCAGTGAGGGGGCAGAGTAGGGAGTTGGGGAGGCTTAATTCTATGGAGTGAGACAATTAAGGAAATAAATATGGGATACAATAAGATCTGCAAACCTCAGTCATTGTTGAATCTCATATGTATACTTACTAGCTTAACACTGTAAATTTCTTGAATTTTTCTCTTTAAAAAACTTTTATATATATATATTTGATATTGTAAATTTTGTTTACAATTATGTTAAACTGCTTTAGCTATACTAAGTGGAAGCATACTTTTGGTCATCATTGGGCAGAACTTTGACAGGGAACAGCATGCTGCATTGCGGTAGGGATTAAAACAGAAACTCAAACAAAGGTGAAAAGTTTTGCCTGCTCTCCTGAATTCAAGCCACAGGAAACTCCCTTCTCAAGGCTTCTCTCTGCTATTTTCTTGAATACATCTTTATCTTCATTTTCGCCAAAGCTTACAATGGTGTACTAGTAAATTCACCATCTTTTAGAGTCAAAGTATCTGAGTGTGAATCTTGACTTTGGTACTGTAAAAAATATAAACTTGAAGTGGTCCATTTTCAAGACAAAGTAACTAGTTCTGAAGTAGCTAACCTTGGGAACTGACAAAGTTGAGGCCTGGACTCTTTAGATAAAGTTAGGGTTGGGGAGAGAGATAAGACTGGATCCTAAAGAGATAGGACTCCAGCCATTTTCTGTGCCCTGTCTCTAAACGTGACTAATGACTTGCAGACTTGATACAGTTCAGTAGCACCTGGAGGGTCGCTAAGCAAACAGGATTTGGGGCGAAGGGATACTAGCAAGAAAGCCTTTGTTGAAAAATGCGGGTGTAAGTTGGGAAGGGAGAAGGAAGGGTACCCTATAAGGAAATAATGACACTTAGGTGAAGTCCGGGAAAATTGTATGCCTCATCGTATGCAGCCAATGAGGAACTGGTCGGGGGAGGGTGGAAACCTGTGAGTTAGGGAATAAATTCCTTGTTGTAATCGCTCTGGGTGTGCCTACCTACCAGACACTGGATCTTTCAAGACCTTAGTTAAAAACTCTCGCTTTCACTGTACTTCGTGTCTGCAAGTCCACCCATTGGTTTTGGGCTGGTGAGCATGTTTCTTACAGGTACTTACTAACTATATAGGTTCGGGCAAATTATTTAACCTTTTAACCTCTGTTGCTCCATTCTTAGTGATAACAATGCCTACCTCATTCTGTTGTTGTTTATAATGATTAAATAAGTTATTATTTGAAAAGTGCTAAGAATAATACCTGGGCTTCCCTGCTGGCTCTGTGGTGAATAATCCTACTGTCAATGTAGGAAACTTGCCAAAGATCGGGGTTCAATCCCTATGCCTAGCCCACAGCAGCTGCTACGTAAAGCTGTTCTCAATTCATTTTGAAATAATTTTTGATAAGATGGTGTTCAAGCTATTAAATACTTTATGTTGGTAATATTATTCTGGGCTCACAACTCCTACCATCTGAATTCCTACAAATTGAAAGAAATGTTCTGAACTTATAAGACTTTTACATAAACTATGTTAAGTCCTGTAACTCTATGGATATCTGATATAAATAAAATATTTTTTGAATTATACTCTGACTAGGTGAGAGACCCTAGCAATTATTATAACATATGCAGAAAAAGCAAAGATTATTAACTCCAAAGCATCATACTTCCTATGATTGAAAGATTAGATTGTTAGGGAAGAAAAATGAAAAGGAAAGGAAAAAGACAAGCCAAGAGGTCATGGAACAGTTAGATTTAAAAGGACCAGACTAACTGCACCAAGATGCAGGACTTTTGAGGCCAACGGTCAAATAAGCAGCTAACGTTTCCATTTTTCACTAACTACAAAAAAAAAAAAAAAAAGCCAAATTCTAATAGATTTTTAGTAGCTGGAAGCTCACTTAACTTATAGATTGTGTGTCTCTGAATTAGCTGTTCTTTAATCACCTTTATTCCAATAATATTATCTAAGAGTCAGAATTTGTGTCAGGTAAACAGTCACATCACCTTCTGCTGTTTTTGACTTAGCATTTGAAACCATGCTTTCAGAGAATCTTCCAGACGTTTAAGAGGAGGCTTTCTTTTTTTTTAACTTGGTATCATTGGCAGGGAAAATTTCAATATTTGAATTTAAAATAACATGGAGAACTGAAATATGTAAAAAGAATAACCAACACATTTGGCTAGTAAATTCCCTAGTAGGGAAAGAATTCCTCGGTAGCTGTTGCCTGTAATCATATGAGTGACAGGATTTTCAGGACCTGAAGAGATCTTCCCCTGCTTCTTAGCACTATCTTCAAAACAACAGCAACCCCTTAAGTTTCTGGTACAACACAGCATGTGCTTTCACCCTTAAGAGTTTTATAATTTCTTTGGATTTTCACTATAGACTTGGGCATCTTTTTATTTTTTATTTTTAAATTTTTAATTGGAGGATAATTGCTTTACAGTGTTTTTGATTTCTGCCATACAACGAAGTAAATCAGCCGTGTGTGTGTGTGTGTGTGTGTGTGTGTATACCCTCTCTCTCTAGCCTCCCTCCCACCCACCCCCATCCCACCCTCCCCTTAGGTCATCACAGAGCACCTGGCCGGACATCCTGTATTCTGCAGCAGCTTCCCACTCGCTGCCTGTTTACTCATGGTGGTGTATATATGTCAGTGCTACTCCTAATTTTCCCACTCTCTCCTTCCCCGGCTGTGTCCACAGGACCATCCTCTATGTCTGCATCTCTGCCCCTGCCCTGTAAATAGGTATCGTTTCACATTCCATAATCTTGAGACATATATATGATACAGTTACATAAATATTTTCATTTTTAGAGCAATTCTAGATTAAGAACAGAATTAAGAGAAAGTATGGAGATTTCCCATATACCTCCCTCCCCACACCCAAACAAGCACAGCTCTCCCCAGTATCAATATCCTTCACCAGAATGGTACACTTGTTAAGTTTGGTGTACCTATATTAGCATATCATTGCCACCCAAAGTCCATAGTTTACCCCAGGGTTCACTGTTGGTGTTGTACATTCTTTGGTTTTGAGAAATGTGTAATGACATGTTATCAATCATTATAGTATCATCCACAGGATTTTCACTGCCTTAAAATCTTTGGGGCACATATTCATCCCTTACTCCCACCAACCTATGGCAACCACTTATTTTTGTATTGTGTCTTTATCTATAAGGGTGTGTGTGTGTGTGTGTGTGTGTGTTATAATTAGAACGATATAGTAGAAGATTTCAAATTGGCTTCTTTGACTTACTAACATACAGTTAAGATTCTTCCATGTTTTTTCATGGCTGGATAGCACACCTGTTTTAAGTGCTGAATAATATCCCATTGTCTAGATATACCATTTACCTACTAAAGGACAGCCTGATTATTTCCCAGTTTCAGCAGTTATGGATGAA